TACCTTCCCCTTTCTACATACACGTTATAACTATCACTCCGATTTCGCTATGTCGGTCACACACGTCTGGTTTTGTTGATGTGTCTATTTTTTGTTTTTGGTCTCAATGCCATGTTGCCGTCACAAGACGGACGAAAGCTTAGCACCTTTTATCGGAATCAAAGGAGATTGCCTCGAAAACAGCGTCAGCATGAATGTTCCAGTCGAGAGGAATCCGCCGTCGTCTTCTGGTGGTGAAACCGACCTTCGAATCTCTTCACCCAACACTTTCACTCGAAATGGAAGTAAGCTCAACAATTATAAACCAGACGTACCAGATCACGTAGCCCCAAATATGGCTTTTCTTGTGTGGTTAAACGTTAATGACCCTAGAATGGTTTCGTCACCTGACTTACACACCAACAAGCTTACATCTCATTATCTCAGCCATACATGCTTACGGACTTGCGCAGTTTCGGTCATGGCTTTCGCTTGGGTCACTAAGCCTTGACGACTAAAGGTTGAGATTATACTTTTTATCACTGCTTCATGACCGGTATTGCGTACGCAGATCTTATCTTCAACAATATCAGCAAAACAAAAGTCAGCTGCTATTCTCGTTAACAGGTCGGTTTTCGAGACTTCCAGTAAATCGGATATTTGAGTTGTTGAGACGAAGAGTAACTGGGTTTCGATGAATCTGCTCAGATTACATTGTTGAAGGTACTTTCAGTTCGTATGAAAGTGCACAAAGAAGAGATTGGTGGGTTGATGTTGACAAAAAAAGGACGAATGAACCCCGGGACACATACATACACACTCGAGCAAAAGTAGCAGAACCAGTATGAAAGATAATTAGCCAAACCATTCTATATCTTTCTAGATTTTATAGATATTCTTTCGCTTGAGTGAGGTCAGATAGAGGTCAGATATAGCTGGACAGTCTTCTTGACCCAGACTTTTACAAGAATGATTTTCAGCTCTGATGATGGACGAAAGCTCAGATCGTCTTCACCCGAAACGAGGGAGCAAGTCTCGTGGACATTCATCCGTCCTCTCGTGTCAAGATCGACCTACCAATCTCTACTTCGTGCACTTTCATTCTAAATGAAAGTCCCTTCAACAATGTAATCTGAGCAGATTCATCGAAACCCAATTACTCTTCGTCTCAACAACTCAAATATCCGATTTACTGTTAGTCTCGAAAGTCTACTCATTAATGAAAATAGCAGCTGACTTTTGTTTTGGTGAAATCGTGGAAGATAAGATCTGCGTAAGTGGGACGATGAGGGATTTCTGTTAATTTTCCGCCTGACCTTCTCGACATCTTCAGACTGACTCTGTCCTTGAAACCTTCCTCTTTGGGTCCAAACCACTTGCGGGACACCATCATTTTGACGAGATTGTCATGCCTACAATAAGTCAGAAAACCGAGACTCATGAATACTTTGGAGTGGAGTTTGATGCTAGTGGGAACGGGTCAGGGTGGGATAGGAAAGAGGGAAAGGTAAAAGGCGTAATAATAGGACGTAGCGACTGGACAAATTGTCGTTAAAAAAAGCAGCAAGAATTAGCGTCTTCTCGAATGAGCAGGTAAGGAGACGAGTGTGAGTCGACGTGTTCGGTCAAATCGGC